TCATGTTCTTTTGTTTTATGTGACATTCCAACACAAATTACTGCATAATTGTTTTCCGAAAATATCTGAAAAATATATTGACCATTTGTATGTGTTATTATTTTAAACCCTACTATTTCAGCTCTGGCTGTATGTGTTTTACTTGAAGGTGAACCTTTGACCAAAGCTCAAGCTTTAATTCAGCTTCATCCATCCCATCAACTTTGACCAGGTTCCCAGTCTCCCTCACAGCTGATCACAGTAGAGCAGATGTGAAGGGAGATGTACATTATGTACCGCCAGAGAGTTTTATTTTGGACTTATTTGACAAGACCATTATCATCTGCATGTGGGCTGTGTCTGCTACATGGTTTGCAGACAACTATAAATTGGCCTTCCGATAACATTGTTTCAACAGTTGATTTTTTTCTGCCACTTTTCCATTAACTTGTGGGGTTCACAACTGTAAGTTTGCCTGTGGACAGATGTTTCCTCCTGAGTTTGGATTTTTTTCTACCACTTCATTACCATACGATTGACCTCTGCTTTGATTAATATACAGAATAGCTGTATTTGTCCTGAGATTAAATTACAATTACTCTCTTTGGTATTTTGGTTACTTTTGAAAACAGCTATTTGCAGTGGGCAGTTTTCCAAGTGAGGTATCAGAGGGAAGGGTGCTTAATAAAATAGTGCACTACACTTTTTAGATTTATACTTGTCACACATTTTAAAACCTGTTTGTCTCTTTCATTTTAGTTTAGTATTATGCAATATTTTATGTTGGTTTGTCACATACCCAAAAACCAATTTAAGGCTTGGGGTTGTACCTTGTGAAAAGTTTAGGGGATGAAAAAACGTTTACAAGGAATTGCACATACCTCTTAACCACATTGACATAACTACTATTACTATTATTCCTGCCTGTTCACTATATAATCTTCTCTAAAATGAAAGAAGCATGAGAGTCATAAATTAAGTGCTTCCGGGAGGAATTTTTAAAACTGTGAAATGTCATACATTGCCCAGGGTTGGATGTTTTCACATACTCAACAAGCCTTACAGAATGCCTTGAGAGTCGTTAGATGTAGAAGGCTCAGTAATCATGCTGAAATGTCTTTTTTGACTCTTCCTGATTGAACTGTATGCAAAGCCTTGTCAGTTTTAGACACTCTTGAAATATGTTTAATTTAGAGTTTTCCTCTTTGATCCGGTATTGAATGCGACTCCTTGAGGCATGAGCAGCAATACATTATACCAGCTAGCCGTGACTATTGCTTTCCTCAAGGACTGTGTACTTTAGTATTTTAGGGTGCTTTTTCTCTAGCAGAACTCAATGGGATATTTTAGAAATATGATTCTGATATTTTCTTTCAACAGGAGTCAAGATAATATTCCTGTGCATTTGTGACCTCTATTTCTGCCTCTGCATAGTTACTGATGTTCACAGGTCGGGCTTATCAGTCACAATGTACCTCTTGTTTTATTGTCATATTCCATACCAGTCCATTGTGGGCTATTTATGGATTAGGGTTCAGAGACACTCACTGGCTTTACACAAGGGGTCATAGGACTGTGTCTACTTTAATAATACCACTGTGTTGTTTCCTAGGTCACCGTCTAGATTCTGATGTCTCTTTGTCAACTAACAAAGAGACACATATCTCTTTGAGCTTGACTCCATTGAAATGCATATTCTTGACTTTGAATCTGTGATTTCATTGACTTTCTTGTCCAGGTTTATATGTCACTGTGATATGCTAAGTCAGGTCAGAGTGTTTTGAATTTGTGAAACTGAGGGCCTGAATTGTTCCCTCGGGGCACTATTTAAAATGTGTGTACAGTTGTGTATTTAAAAGAGAGTCTTAGTAACTTTCCATACAGATCATACTGGCTGCAAGTTATTGAGAAATTAAGGTAATTGCTTAATAAGTATTAAAAAGTTCTGGTTCTCTTAGAATTAAAGTGGAACCTAACAATTTAACATATTTGCTCTCTTTTTTATTTAGGCCTTTTAAGTCTTGCTGCCAGGAAGCTGCAATTTTATATTTTGTAGATTTGTTCTAAAGAAGTTTCCTCTGTATCTGCTTGGAAAGAGCACTGAAAAACGTCTCCTTGAGATCTCACTTTCAGATGTTAAGCTTTTTTTCCCTAGCAAGCTGTTTTCATTTTGGTTCTAGCATGTCTTATTGCTGTTTTGGCTTAAAGGGTTAACATACATACCTTTAAATGTACTTAGAAATTGGGAACAAATTGAAATTGTCAGTTGCTTGCATAAAGCAATACACTTACATTCACAAGATTTCTGAGGCATGATTGTCGTCATTGTTTCTGTTTGAGAACTAATTAGAACTTTCTGGGCTTTTTACTGTGTGATCCATGTCCCCAAACTGAACTGATATACATCTCTCACACCGCTGCCTCTGTCACAGATGGGCATGACTTACTAATTACATAAACTCAATAGTTTGACTATGAAGGTGCTAATTTGTCTTTTAGTCCTCAGTGATCAGTTTAATGCTTCTCTCTACATAGAAGCATTCAACTGCTTCTATGTTTAATGCATCAGAATAAAAAAATACAGAACTTAAATCTAACTCACTGAGCATATTTTAAAGACTGAAAGATACTCCAGGATAGCAATGTCACCCATCCTGTTTATAGACTTTCTATAGTTTCTTGAGTTGTATTTTTTAAAACTAAGATTTAAGATTAAGAAAACTGCTTTGCTGTAGACATCTTTAGAGAAATGTATGCTCATTAGACCATCAAATATAATGCCTACTTCTCCAGCAGTGCTGTCATCAAACTGTCCAAGCAGTTAATACTTCCACAGATGTCTTGTATATCTGAGGAATTTCTGTTGGAGATTTCTGACATCCTGTCAAGACACATCCAACCACCTATCCATCCATTCATTTTCTCCACCCACTTAATCCTGTTTAGGTTCACAGGAGTCAGGGACTGTCTGTAGGCTATCTGAAGCAGTTTGAAGGTCTGAGTTCTGCATGTGCAGGTGCACTGCAGAGGTACACAAGAAAAAGAATCATTGACGCACACAGTCATATTATAGCAATCTAACAAAATTGTAGTTGTCGTTTCAGTACTGCTCGGGCGCAATATTGCAACTGATTTTTTTTGTTAACAGGCCTTTACAGAGCTCAGGGAAATCAGCTATTTAATTCCCTGTTTTGGAGCAGCAATGCATCTAAAAGTTTCAGGACCGTAGATGTTGAGAACTAGACTTGGACATCCTGTCCTATAGTAGTAAACTGAATAAGCTGCCTGTTGTTTTGTATTGATTTAATTTCATTTTAAGAGCAGTAATGGAGAAAATGTAATGGGGTTGAATTTTTAAACCATGCACCTTCCCTAAGAAGTTCTATGTAGGCCTATATATCTAATGGCTTTGGCATTATTTATTACAAGGTAGGTACTTTTTATGTCAAAATAATAATTAATAATTTTACATGTGCAAAATTATTTGATCAGATTGAAATGTATTTGGGTCAAATAATCCAAATATATTTTTCAAATGAGCACCCAATATTAATTCATCCGATCATGACGGGCATTTATATAAACTAGAACTGATTGAGAATGGAAGCATTCACATGTGCAGAGTTGTAAAAAATTCCCTTAAACAACACAGAAGTATTTTTTAAAGTATTTTTTAAGGGTCTTTATGTTCAGAGCTGAACATAAAGACAAATGCAGTAGTGTCTTTGTTCTGTGTATTCTGAGTCGCCAGAATGGATGCATCCTAGGTTCTAATAACAGTTGAGATCGAACTCCACTGCCTAATTAAACTGCACACTAAGCAGCTGTTGGGCTTCCTGCTTCATAGGTTGAGAGGGTGGGAAGAAATAAACAAAGTTCTGTGCTGCCTCCAACCCACATGTTTGCCTTTCCCTTCTCAAACATGTTCACTCAGGTCAGTTTGCCACAATCAGAATAACACAAACTGGAAAAGGGTTAGCATGCATGCCATTGGGATTATTATTTTTGGTTATTGGATAATGTAAACTAATGTTTTTGCTATAAACAATATAAGAAACTATAGTGTGAGTTTTGAGCAGACATACCTTGTGAAGATGAGATTCATCAAATCCTATTTTTCATAACTTTTTAATTCCTGATTGTAATTCAGGTTCTATGTTTTTTTTTTTCTAAATGTTAGATACATGTGGTATTTTGTTATATAATCAGTTGAAAGTGTTGTCACTTGGGAGCTTATTCTAATGTCTTGCTTTGCACATACTTTTGTTTCTATTTTGTCTCATTGTCATCTTTCCGTGGAGAAATTTGTTACAGTGACATTTGTTATGTGTCAACCATTCGGCTTGACACATACCTGTGTGGCAGCAGTGTACAGTAAATATAGCCGGCCGACTTCACTTATCACCTTTTTATATGTTGCTGGTCAGGCAGACTAACAGACATTTTTGATGTGTTGGGCTTTATCTGAAACCAACTCTGCCTGCATCACCATTGTTTAAATGTAAAGGATAAACTTTCAATGGGAAAAACGTTTTCTCACTTATTAAATCAGACTTTCTGCTTGTGGTGGCTTGAACTGCCTGGAGACTTCAAACATGCTTGTGCTGTGAAGCAAGCACTCTCTGCTTGAGGCAAAAAAAGAGATTTTAATTAGCAGAACTTGCAGAGGTGTGTTATGTCGTAATTCAAAAAGGCAAAAATATTTTAGGATTTTTAAAAATTATTTCTCTGATTTTTTTCTAATGAGTGCTGCTTAAAGTAACATAAATAAATGAAAGCCTTCAAGGTCATTTTGAAAAGAAAAAAAAAGGGTTTTTGTCAACTATTAATAGACGCTAATTAAGGTTATGTGAAATGGCCAGTTCCTATCCTGGTCTTTGCAAGCATTTTGAATTTTTATTTCAATGTTTATTTGCTGTGGCCTTTATAGCTTTCCTATTTTCTCCTGACTCCACAAATATGTCAGGAATGACCACAAACAGATTTTAAATAATTATTTACTCTTTTCTTTTCTATGTTAGGTTTCCATCTGATTCCTCGTCTATCAAATGTCGTGCCAGAGAGCTGCCTGCTAATAACTGTTGGCCTGCTAGTCGGAGGAATCCTCAAGCTAACTCGAGATGAGGTCCCACCAGTCCTAAGCGACCAAATTTTTTTCCTCTGCCTCCTGCCCCCCATCATCCTGGATGCTGGGTACTTCTTGCCTATCCGACCATTTGTGGAAAACATTGGCACAATCCTGATGTTTGCTGTTGTGGGAACTTTATGGAACGCCTTTTTTGTCGGAGGTCTGATCTATGCTGTTTGTCAGCTCGCACAAGACAATTACAGCAAAATCAATCTCAGCGACATTGGGATTCTGCCTTGTCTGCTGTTTGGCTCCATCATCTCTGCTGTGGATCCTGTTGCTGTGCTCGCTGTCTTTGAAGAGATTCACATAAACGAGCTGTTGCACATCTTGGTGTTTGGCGAATCACTGCTGAACGATGCTGTAACAGTGGTAAGTGGTCATAGTGAGAATAAAGAGATTGCTTAGGTACACGTAACCAGATGAACATACACAACAGAAACATTTTCAGTTAAGGGTGAAAGCAGAAAACCCTGCACAATTAATCTTGACAATGGGGATAATAGTTTATTCACTAACAATGGTTTGGCTAACTTTTGACAACTGAAAACACTGTGGAGCAAAATCAATTCATATCATCAATAACATTATATACTTGAATAATAGCTAATACATTGACTGACTTGTATTCAATGCCATCCAGTTTTATCCCTTCTGGTCATTACGTTTATTCCATCAGCACTATTGTCTCCAGGTAACAAATTTATCTCCATGATTTGGCAGCATAGTCTTGTGTAGAGAAAGACTAGAATATCCTGTCTGTTATAGGATACATTGAAGCTTTTATGAGCTCAATACAAACTATGACAACATGAGACTTATAATGTGGCTGATGTTGCAATATGTTGTAATACACTTTTTGTGAATGTTTGAGTACATATATGCAATTTTTTGTACAATTTTATGCACTACGACAATACAACTAATATAATTTGTTGTTTTATGTGTGTTTGTTGTGGTTTTTCATGCCTTTTCTTTGGATCATTTTTTTCATATTTTTTTTTCTCACCTGTTTTTTTATACTTTTACTCAATTCACTCCCAACACCGTTGTCATTTGCCCTTCTAGGTACTCTACCATCTATTTGAGGAGTTTATGGACTCTGGTTCAATGTCGGCAGTGGACGCTATGCTGGGACTCATCTCATTCCTCATTGTTGCATTGGGTGGCGTCCTGGTTGGAGCCTTCTATGGGATCCTGGCTGCCTTCACGTCTCGTTTCACCTCCCGCACGCGGGTCATCGAGCCTCTTTTTGTGTTCCTCTACAGCTACATGGCCTACCTGTCGGCAGAGGTGTTCCACCTTTCGGGCATTATGTCGTAAGTTGTAGATGAGGGACATGATATAAAGTACGATCTTTTCCTCTGTTTTTTAACCCTCCCGTGTGGTTAGTGCAACTTCGTAACACGCACCTACATTAGTACTGCTTTGAACCTCTCCCATGTTTCCTGTGTATGTGTGCATGTCAGAAAAGTTTTTTTTAAATTCAAATGTAAATTTCTGTATGCCTTTACTTGAACCTTATGCTACCTGCAATAATCTTGTTAATCTTAGTTTTTAGTATTTCAACCTGATCTTTATACATTTCTCTTAAGAGAGTTTTAAAGAAAAACTACTACTTGATCTCTTCAATGAAGAGAGTTTACCCATATATCTTAAATTTAATTTCTATTACTTATTTTTTATGCGTAACTTGTTGAGCTACCTGCAAGCAGAAATCTATATTGTTAGGTTCAAAAGAAATTAAATGGAAATAAGATTTGTGGTGACATTATCAAGGTTTCCCCAGAAAACTAGCAAAGCTGGTTGATCAGGGCACTGAGGTGGTCCACCGGGGTTTTGAATTAAAAGATATTAAGTTTACAGGAAATGGAAAATATTACTGGGTAATTATGTTACTGGAAATCATTGCTTACTTAAACCTACAACTATAGAATTTTAAAAACAACAAATCCCAACAATACAGTTAAAATAAATATTAATTATTTACACTTTTGTTAAATCCAAATTAAGTCATCAGTTAATGGATCTAAAAACAATGTAATGCTGCTCACATTTAGAACCCACCCAAGAAATAAATGTACTAAAAGAATATCATTGCAGTTACATTTGATTTAATGGTTTCAGCATAGATAAATTAAAAGTTTTAAAATTGTTTAACATTTAAATTTAAGATCAAAAGGAGCTGTCAAGTTTACTTTGTAAAAGTTCAATTAACAACCTTCATAGTTAAATTGTTTTGTTACCATACCTACAATCTGATGCTCTCAGTTTAATCTTTGAGTTTTAGCTTTGTTTGTTTACAAATACATCTTAGTATACTTCAATTATCATTGACTGTTTGGCCAATTACACTAGGCCCCCTATCACCTCCCAGATTTCACTAAATATATGGTGAAATGCTATTAAAGGTGTTAATGTTCTTAGCAGCAAGAGGGGCCCTTAAATTGAATATTGCTCCAGGCCTCATTTTACATTGGACAGGCATTGCGTAATGAGCTAGACCTGCTGCACTGCACATCTCTGCTGCTGGATGTAGAGGGATAAATGAGAGATTTGATTTTTTGCTTAACGTAAAGCCCGCCAGGCTTATAATACACTAGGAGAACCTTTGCACTATAGTGCACCACTAATTTGAAAATAGCAAGCCAACAAGACACAAAGATGCACTGTAAAGGGTCTCAGGTTCCAAAGAATAGTATGGCGTTATATTTCAAGGTTTTCTTATTCTTAGCACAGTTGATCTATGGGCAGCCTCTCAACTGCAGTAGTATTTCAGTCATACTTTTCCTTCTTATAAGGCTATTTATTTTACCCATTATTTAAATAGTTTTTTCTGTTTATCTACTTCTGCATAGATCATGAACACCTCCATATTTTCCGAGGTGGCAATTCATCACCTCCTGCGGTACGCAGTGATTTGTTACCTGTTTTAAGATGGTGACAGAAGTTGTTGAGATACTATGTTTCCCTCTTACTCAAAAAGAATAATACATTTCTAGCTTCAAAGACAAGAGTTTCTTTTTGTAATTTTTTTCTGTTCGGAGCAGTCTTATGCTACCTGCAATAATACTGTTTTTCTAGGACGGTTTTAAAAAGAGAAATAGATCTACTTCCTTTTTTCATTTCTCCAAAACTTTGAAAGTCAAACCGATATTCCCAGTAGGAAGGAATGAAAGTAAATCTTGAATAGCTGCAGCAGCTTGTGGCATATTTATGCTGCTGTTGCTTTTGACCTTCAGATTTTGATGTTCAGTCATTGCGTGAATGTGGGCAGAAGCTGAAGTGGTTACCAAATGAGGATGAGTACATCTATTTCAAAGTAATCTGTCTTATGAAATTCAAGCTTTTTAATTGCAGCACTGTCTCGTCTTTTAAAGACAGCAGCCTCCTCTATTAAAGAAAACGTTTGAATGCCTGAGTGAAAAAACATTCAGCAATATATATATGCATCCAGCCATTTTTTTTACTTTTGTTGACACAAGATTTCACTTTTTTTCTTTCTCCAGCTTAATAGCATGTGGAGCAGTGATGCGACCCTATGTAGAAGCTAATATATCCCACAAGTCCCACACCACTATTAAGTACTTCCTCAAAATGTGGAGCAGTGTCAGTGAGACATTGATCTTCATCTTTCTGGGTGTGGCCACAGTGGAAGGAGAACACCAATGGGACTGGATCTTCATCACAGCGACTCTCATCTTGTGTCTGGTTGCACGAGTCATAGGTCAGCTCCAAATCTCTCTTTTTTTGTTGTTGTTGTTGTTTTTTTCTTGAAAAGAAACTTCAACAGTGAGATTTTCCTTACAGATTTTTCCAACAGGAAAGGAGGCTTTTGATGTGCATTGGGTGTATAAAGTTGGGGAAAATGATGATAAATTATTTTAATGCCTCTTCTTTTTCATCTTTTTTTCAGGCGTGGTTGGTCTTACGTTTATAATTAACCATTTCCGGATCGTCAAGCTGACCACCAAAGATCAGTTCATTATAGCCTATGGTGGACTGCGAGGTGCCATTGCTTTTTCCCTGGGCTTCATTCTGCACTCGGATCACAAGAAGATCTTCCTGACTGCCATCATCACTGTTATTTTCTTCACTGTCTTTGTTCAGGTGAATATACTGAAGCGATTTAGTGATCAGAAAATATTTTGATTTGCAAAAGAACTTTTGGCAGAGCGCATTTGCATTTATTCATCTACTTTGAATTTTCCCCCTTCAGCAGTGGCCTCATGTCCTCACTACCTGGAGCTTATAGCTAAATGTATTTACTGACATTTTATACTGTGGCATTTACAAACAAGGATGTGAAAGTTTGAGACGTTATTTGAATTAGCTGAAATGTTTTTTTAATTTAGTTTATTTTTTGGGTTCACCCATTTTATTTTTTCCCCCAGATTAAAACCAGTAACATTTTAAATCTTTGCCCATGCTGATCAGCTTATCTATTAATTGTTTTTTTAATAAACCATTTTGCTTGCTCATAGAGTCCAAATTACTTTTCTGTCTTACTAGTCATTCCTCTGATTTTTGTAATCTTTATAAAATGAGAAAAATGCAAGTTACTTTATATACAAGTTTTGATGTAGACTGTCATTATGAAAAAGTTGCAATGGCCTGTCATCCACTTCATGCCACTGGAGTAAGGCAGACATCTGGCTTAATCTCTTTAAGTAAGAGAAGCAAACAGTCAATCCTATAGTTGCAGACAGGAACAAAGATACACAAACAGACACATCTTTTCCTCTATATTAATAAGAAATAGAATTGGCATGGCTTCTGTTTGTGGTCTGGAAGTCACCCAATATCAGGATACTTCTTATGTGCTCTTCTTACTTATGAATAGTGACTGTTTCTATTAGAACCAGAGATGATGTTATGCTGTTTGTGAGTGAGAAAAGTAAGTCAGTGTTGAACAACTCTTAAGGTATTATTTAACTACAACTGACAGATTTACCTGTCAATAACACTCTTTTAATTGTTAGAAGAAGCAGCATCATATAATGTGGTTGGTTTCACCTCACCTGAGTTGTTTACGTTCTGAGAGTTCTCAGAGTTTCCAGTCTTCCACATCATAGCATGTCTTTTTTCTTTTTTTGCTTTTAAGTAAAAGCTGCTTACTGATTGGAAAAAGATCCATTTTTTATTTTACAACCCAAGTAAAATCAATAGATTATATTCATCATCCAATTTCTCTGTGCATTTCTACTTTATTTATCTGCACCCTGATCAACAAATTGGAAGACATCAAAGTGGCATTAACTGCATTAAAGTAATGTGTTATATATTACATTACTTTAATGCAAAAACAGATAATAAAAATACTGGAAAGATAAAGTTACCACAATTCAAAAGCACTTTATGATAACAGTCTATTTCCATCTTTGCAAAAGATTAGGAAGGATTTCACGTGAATAATGCTTTGTTCTTCTCACCCCCTTTAAGGGTATGACCATTAAACCCCTGGTGGAGCTGTTGGCAGTGAAGAAGAAACAGGAGACAAAGCGCTCTATTAATGAGGAGATCCATACCCGGGTAAGGCCTATGAAGACCCAGTTCTTCTCAGTTGTCTTTTTTTTATTTATTTGAATGTCTAGCATGTTCCGTTTCCACTTTCAAGTACACATTCAGATGCATCCATATATGAAACAAACCGACACTTTCATCAGCTCTTTCTGGAAGCTTGATGTAATTTACTCAATCAAATGTTGAGCCTTGCCTCCACCCACTGGCTGTGTAGCGGTACTCCATGTCTGTTCATTCAAAACCATTTCAGAAATTTTCAACAGTTACTGATTTTCTTGCCTCATTCTGTTCCATTAGTGTCTCTGTGCTTGGCGCTTTGCTTAAGCATTTTGTTTAAGTCTTCAGTACTGAATGTTTTCGAGGTTGCAACATAACTACACAGGTCTGGACACCCACAGCACACACACGCACACACTCTCTAGGGGCTCAGTGATGAGTCACTGCTGCTCGAGGCAAGAGGAACAGACGGTTCTAATGCCTCCTTCAATGTAAAACAGCAGAGATTAGAGGGAAGCAAGAGTTGCACAATGCACAGTGTGGAAAATTATCTAAACAGACTGCCATCGAGACCTCTAACTAGTCTTTATTTATTCTTATTTTTACAGTAAATGATGTGAGCTACTAGTGCATGTGTTCTCGAGCATGATGCATATTTTTCAAACATGCATGTTTATTATGGAAGTATGATGTATTTTGTAGTGGTACGTTGAACATAATATCCAGTCTGATTCTTTAATCGCACTTTGGAGGAAATGCTCAGAAAGTAGAGTAATTGTTCTAAACAAGGCCAGTTTATAAAAGTGCATTGATCTCTTGGTTGTGGAGTGGCAACACTTTTACAGATGATTCTTCATCCCCACAGCATGGACCAATGTGTATATTTATCATTTTCCTCAGCCAAAGCACAAGTGTATACTTAATGACTTGTTACTATAGCAACACCAGCTGTCAAACTGTCATCTTCAGGCTTAGTCAGAGCACAGGGCCAATCTATGGATCGGCTGCAATCTAAACAACAAATCAGTTCTTACATTTCTCTGGTTGTGTAAGCAGGAATTCCACTCCTGTTAATAAAGCTGCTCCAATCAATCACATGGCAGCGGCCGCTGCTGTTCACTTCCTCTCCTAGATTTTATTTTAAACCCCGCTTAGTTAAGGCAACGGTGCTAATCCAAGAACTACAAGAAGCAGCTGAATAAAATGTGAATGGTTACTTACAACACATTCTCTCAAAGAAATGGCAAAAGACAAATGTTTTCACATTATACTTTGACTTTGCTTAGAATCATTTGCAGCACACACAAATCATCCCTATTAAAGATGGGGAGGTAGCCTGATCCGTTTTCTTTCTTTTTTCACATCTGCTTTCAGTTCCTTGACCACCTGCTGACTGGGATTGAGGATGTCTGTGGACACTATGGACATCACCACTGGAAAAACAAGTATGTATTTTAACTTGAGCAAAGACTGGACCTAAATTTTTTATTACTATTTTAGTTACTAGGTAGTTTTAAAAACCTGAGAGTGATGTGACCCTTTTTGCTTTCCACTGACTGCTCCTATTGTCAGGATTTGTATAGATGAGTTATTAGGGCCAACAAGGTGGCCTCTGCTTTGGTTTGTTGCGATGAAGAAAGCGCTGTAAAGAAAAAAGTTCTCTGTTTACTGGTCTGTTTACATTCTAATCCTCCCCTATTGTGATGAGATACAGATCATGACTGGAAAAACATGATCTTGCTAAAATTTATGCTTGACACTGAAAGTAAACCTTTTCCATTGGATTTTAGAAATGACCCAAAAAGTGATACAGAATGTGGAAATGTACAATTTGGAAAAGTTTGTGCAGATACGTCACTAAAGGGGAATGTGAGGTAACATAAGAAACCATGGATCTAAAAGTTTGATAGGATTTTAGTATTTTCATCGTAGAGAAGGATAACTCTTTCACAAGAGTGACCTCAATGTTTTTTTTTCCTTTTTGTTGTTTATTTGTCACTGCCATTCTCCTCTCAGGCTGAACCGCTTTAACAAGAGATATGTGAAGAAGATGCTGATCGCAGGCGATCGCTACAGAGAACCACAGCTAATTGCCTTCTACCACAAACTGGAGATGAAGCAAGCTATTCAGATGGTGGAGAGCGGAGGGGGATCTAAGCTCAACTCTTCCTTCCCTTCCACTGTTTCCATGCAGTGAGTACTGCACACTGTATTTCCTTAAATTAGCACTGAAATATATGATAAATTCTTCAGCAAAGGTTTTAGGGCTGCAACTCACGATTATTTTTTAAATCAGTTATTCTATCGATTATTCTAATCAGGAATGGATTAATCAGATAAAGAAATTGCCACATTCTGCAGATTTTGTATTTTATTTTTTAAGCTTTTTATATTAGACATAAGGAAACAAACATTTTATTGCCTAAAATGCAATAACATAGCATTCCTTCCTTTCATGTACTTTTGATCATTTGAAGCAAATAATGTATCTTCAGCTAAAAACAAATACTTTAAATAATGTGAAATGCTCAGCTTATTCGTCTTGACTTAACCTCAGTACAGTGTAGGCCTAAACTGATGATTAATTTTGGGATAAACTGATTAATAATTGGATAGTAATAAGAGTTTTTTTTTTCTACAAAATTTTGAAGTGATTGGAAATAAAACTGCCACTTGAGGAGTTGTGAATAGAACATATTGACAGACATTATTTATTTATTTATTTTTTATACACAAAATGTATATTTATATTTCTTTACAGTTTTGGCTTAACTACTGCTCTGACGACATAGTATTTTCAGCAAATAGCATTTCTGTGTCTCCATACTGCGTTTAACAATTAATAGATCACTAAATTAGATTACCATTTTTTCAGTAATCACGATAAATCTCATTAATTCCTTCACCCTTACATAAGTTACAAATGTAAACTGTTGAGGTAAGATTTGACCTTTGCTAATAAAAGCATTTTCCTGTCTATGTTGACCAATTTTAAATATGAAAGAAATGCTTTTGTGTTTCAACATTTCTAAAAATTATTTTGTTTGAAACAATTTTAGCTTGTGTGGTTGTACCTTGTTTTGGAGGTAAAAAGATAATGAAGAGGGATTACTTCTGCTGCTCAGATTTATCCCCATTTAAGCACAATTTTTAACTAAAGTCCAACTACATATAGAAAGGATGACTGGGTAAAAACCTATTCTGGGTAATAGAATTGCTTTAAAGGTGTTCTTTCATTAGTAATTCTGCATATTTGTTTTTGCACCCTTAATGTGAGTGAAAATGAGGAAGATTTCTTCTAGTTCTGCATTGATCATCTCTGCTCAGTTAGTTACAAACATGATGAACAAACACAAACATGATGACCAGCTATTTTTGCACCAGACAAGAAAACAATTGTTTTTTCCCGTTAGGAACCTTCAGCCCAAGGTCCAGTCTCCTACTTCTGCTCAGCCTGCAGAAAGAGCACTTCCACAGCTGACCAAAGGTCGAGAGGAAGAGATCAGACAAATCCTCAGGACCAACCTTCAGAAGACACGACAGAGGGTGACTGTCATGATTACTCGTTTACAGAAAAATACGACTATATAACTACTTTCAAATGTACCGTTCACTTGACTTAACCTCAGTACAGTGTAGGCCTAATCTGATGATTAATTTTGGGATAAACTGATTAATAATTGGATAGTAATAAGAGTTTTTTTTTCTACAAAATTTTGAAGTGATTGGAAATTAAACGATATGAGCAGTGTGCCTGTGTTAGTCATGCAGAACTTTTTATGCTTTTATTTCTCAGTTGCAATCCTACAACAGGCATACTCTGGTGGTTGATCCTGATGAGGAGGGATTTGATAACTTAATCTTAAAAAAGAGGAGGATGATGGAAATGGACTATAAGGTATGTAAAACTTGATCTCAAAAATTATCTAATGCTATCTGTCAATGAGCTTAAAGAAAATTAAGCATTACTGAAAATATACAGAGTCAATCTGAGAGCAGCCATGAAGAGTTAAACTAATGCAGCCAAAAGCATGATTTATGATTTAATTAGAATCAATTCTGAGTTTACCAAATTGATTTTTTTCTGACTCAAAGAGGCATTAATTTATTCTCTCAGATGAGCAGTCATACATTTTCTCCCGTTTCATCAGCTTGTAATTGCAAAAGGAAATTGACTCCTTCTTAGGATAAATTAAATGTGCTAGACGTCACTGAGGACTGTCTGCAGGCTCCCATAAAGCAAACATCAAATTCAATTCTATTCAATGAAGATACTGATTGACTCAATGGTGAGGCAGTGAACACTGTGAGCTGGGATTCATTTCAATAAAAACTGATTGAGCCAGAATGTTATTTTCTCATTGCTGTTCAATGTAAGCTTTGTGCAATACTAATGCAGCTGTTTATGACTTAAATATTCTTGCAAAATGGAGTCATTTTCTGTCTTTCCAGTTAAAAAAGATGACCAACTACCTGTCTGTCCCTCGTCCTCAAGGCTCCCCAACTATGAGCAGAGCCAGAATGGCTTCAGGTAAATATATGCATCAACTAAACATATAACTGTAATGGATTTAACCTCTTACTGCCTGATTTTACTTAAAACCCTAGACAAACTTTTCCCCTGTAATAGAAGCCAGACAGATCAGATATATTTTATGTATGTATTTTTCAGTAATTGAAAATAAATGCAAATGCATCTCAATAAATTTAAATATCAGAAGAGTAAATTATTTCAGCAAGTGAAAATAACATAAAGTTTAAGGTCACTGTTAAAGGCTTGCTGATCTGAATGCTGTATCAAAACAATAGAATGGACATAGTGGAGGGAAAAAGTGCAGTACAAATTCATTCATGAGCAAGAATAATAAGACACCCTTCCATTGTATTTTCTGAAGCCAATGACACCATCTACCTGAAAATTTTAGAGCATTTTCTGCTTCCCCCTAGGTAGACAGGCTTGATGAAGAATCTGATTTCATGTCCTAGCAGGACATAGCACCTTCCCACACTAGTACAATAGAAGAATGGAAACAAATGTTCACAAAGTTAAAAATATAATGCAAAGAAATATGGATAAGAGACTATGCAATCAGGACAGACTCACTAATCACTGGCAAGTTACCATCCATGAATGGCCAGCAAAATGGCCTGTCCTACACCTCGTAGAGAATCTATAGAGTGTTTACAAGAGGAAGATAAGAAATGGCAGAACGAACAACATAGATGACCTGAAGGACACTATAAATGTAAAATAGGCTACATTAGCACCTTAGCAGGACCACCACCATGCCACGCTGTATTAATAAAATTAGTCAGGCAAAATAAGTCCTCAACTAAATGTTGAGTCTACAAACTGTTGAAAATTTTAGATAACAATATAACAAACTGTTATATTGTTGTTTAACTTTTAATTTTCTCCAAACCAAAATCATCAAAATTAACTAAAAATAACACTGAAAATAATACACTCTGCATATAAAATACACACTACAAAACAGGGATGCCTAACCCCACTCCTTGAGAGACAGGGTACTCCAACTTTTAGATGTATCCCTGCTGATGTCGCTCTTCAGCATTGCATCAAGTTCTGCAGAGGACTGGTAATGAGCTAATTATGTGATTTGGGTTTGTAGAAACGGGAATGTGTCTGAAAGTTGCAGGACAGTAGTTCTGAATGACTGGTGGGGAGACTCCTGCAATATAGTTGTTGAACTGAAGTACTAACAAAATACATTTAGATGATATTCTGATTCATTGAGATGCATATCAAAACAGTGGTGTGGAATTGTTTCCCTTCCTTTCTTATTTGCTTTTTCCAGTTTTCGAATGCTTTTCATACTTTAGTGTTTCAGATCATCAAACTAATTAGAATATTAGTCAGGGACAACACAGCTAAAACATAAAATGCTGTTTTTTAATGGAGGTGTTGATTATTAAGGAAGGGAAAATCCATACCTACTTTATTGCCTTCTTCCCCTTCCCTTGTTAAAGTATAACTTGCCTATGGGCTGTCACACCTTATTTCACTCTGTCTAGCCACATTCAGGCCTGATAACTGTCCCACCCCTGTTCTTAATCAAAACATCATTTAAATAGGACCTTTCTGACAAAACGATCCTCAAAAATTTGACATCACTGCAAGATACAAAGAAATACATGAAATAAAGTTGAAAGAGTTCACAAAAGACCCCACATCAACATTCAAAGAATCAGGTCACACTTGCCGCAGTGCCAGACCATGTAATGATGCATTCATTCTGTGCAAAAATGTATCTTAAAAGGTCTTAAATTTGAGTTGGTAAAACCTGCAGAAACTCTGAAAACTGTATTTTATGTTTACTTGTGTTCTGGCTAATATTTAAATGCTCTCAAACACAGAAGTGTGACAAACTTAAAAAAGGAAAACCAGGAAGTGGCCTAATATTTTATCACACCACTTTATGTGCTATAAACTGTGGTAATGTCCCTCCTCTCCCCTAAGTCCCCTAATGGAAACATGTTTGCATTTGCGAGCCGGCATTTAAACCAGAGTTTGGTTTCATTTTAGGCAGAAATACTGATTTCATACCTCCTCAGCAGCAAAAAGGAAACAAACAGTCATCAGGTATGTAGAGTAAAGCATACAAACTACAGAGGACAGCAACTCTAATCTGCATGTTTTTATTTCTTCATTATTAATTGAGATATGCAGGTCGGTTCTAGTTAGCAGCATGTTGTGTATAAGGAGCTTCAGCAACATCTCTAGAAGCTTAATCATAGTAGAATAAGACCAGCATGTGTTTATTTCTCATCAAAAACTGCTGTGTGAAGTTGCTGAACTGCAAAAGTGTCTAATTAGATGAGTGACATTATGACCACAACATGTAGTTCATTTTTTTCTCCCTTTCCACATTACCGCTAAAACCAGATGTTAACGTTACATTGTATAAAGACACCCAGGCTTTTCTGTTCTAATGTCACATAACCTGTTTTAGTTAAGCACAGGTTACCAACAATATTTTTATTTGATAAATACCTTAATATTGAGAGAGATTTTGTGTTTTTTATTATTATTTTAATAGCATTCTTCAAATTGAAAGAATACCTTTCTTAGGCATTTAGTAGAAATGCCTTTGAAACTGTAGCTATATTACTTGGATCAGAATTTTGGCCCATATTTCTTGTCAGAAGTGATGTAGACTGCCTAACTTGCACATCTTTTCAGCTCCTGCAATTGGTATTTGTAGCTAAGATCAGGGCTTTTTTTGTGGGTTACTACAGAATATTGCCTCAGTTGCTTCAATATTTCCACATAACGCTCTTTCCTTGTGATGACATTGTTTTGTGAAGTGCACTAGTTCTTCCCCCAGTTTTCTGCTTCCTATTCTTACATTTGAAAGTTACATAATTTATCCAACTGTGGTCATTAGGCAAAATCCTCTTGTGGACTGACTGATTTTTCTTTTGATATATTGCTGATGTGCCTTACTATGTATTCACAGGTGTAAAAAAATATCTGGCATTTATCAAATTTAAATAATTTGGTAATTATAACAGCTCTAAAGTCGGAAAAGTTTAGCCTGATTTAATGTTGGAGTGAGAATAACATTTATACACTGTATGTAAACATCTGGTCTCAACTGTCTAGGTTCATGCATGCTGATTGAATAAAAAATAAAAAAAAACTAGATGTAATCCATTTCAAAACCCTAATATTGCTGATAGCCTAGTAATGTTATTGTTTTGCCTGCAGATTCACAGGCTTATGTAAAGCCAGGTGCAAAAGGCGTGCCCACCATCCAGATTGACCTGGCATCTCCACAGTCTCCAGAGTCTGTCAGGCTGTTGAATGAGGTCAGACAGGACCAAGGCCTGACGATGAGCCTTCCTTCAAGTTCAAGCAGAGCTTACAAAACTGGTGGGAAAGATGACAGCAGAGATCAGAAACTGTTAAGGTGCCTGAGCGACCCAGGGCCCAGTGCGGATGAGGACGAGGATGACGATGAGGATGAGCCCATCCCAACTTAAGATCTTCTCGTAGAGAAGAGCTGCTGCTCTGGTTGGAATTTTCTCAAAATGACAACAAAAAACAGAAATGCATATGCTGGAAGAACTAGTGATGAATAACAAGAGAACAAGCCCGAGGGGAAAAAGAGCCATTACCTTATTATTGTCATTGCTCTTTATTTTGTTGACAGTTGTATAAATTTACTGCTGCAACTAAAATCTGGGAGAAGTCGGATTCCATGACTGACGATCTGAGACGTTCAGGAAAGAACTATGCATTACCAAAGCTTTGGACTGTTTTAGTGTCAGACAATGTTATTTTTATCTTATGGCATTAATGTTAAGTCCTTGAGACATTCAGGGCCTCTTGTCCTGAACATAATCAGTAAAAATAAATGTAAATTTTTCACTTTCCTTGTCAAGCTTTGCACTTTAGATTTTAGTTTACACTATCAGTCTGTCTGCTGGATTCAAACACATAGATGTAGCTGTTTGAGACGTTTGGCCTTTTATCACAGAAACTTATTTTCTTTGCCTTATTTAAAATGACATATCTTTTTTTTATTTTAATTTCACCATTAACTGTTTGAAATCATATTGCAGTGTGGATTCGAAGCAGGGTGTATGTTTACTCTGCAGTACACTGAGTTAAAGAACGATACATCTAACGACTGCAGCCTTTTTCTACAACTACGCCGTTAATTATATGAAACTATCTCTATCGCAGGAGGTTTGTGAGTTTTGATCCTTAGGAACTGAGTTTGTCTGGAAGTTGGAGAATATTTTGAGCTAACACATCATACTTAAAATAATTTTTATCTACAAATATTTACCTCAGTTGTAAGAACCTCTTTCAGGTCTGGATAAAAGTTGTTAAAGCAATTTTTCCCCTCATACTTTAATAGCCAAGTGCCCAGTAGCAACCATTTTCTAATGTCACATATTTCAAACTGTTTTTTTTTGTTTTTTTTTTTAAGTGTGTACAGCCGCCTATTCATGTCTTATAACCTTCTGAATCACTGACTGTCTGCATGCCATTGGAAAAAATGTAAATCTATGCAGAATAGATGTTTAAAATACAGTGATTAATGATAATATCCTCTTTCTATACCTGTTAAAAGTGGTTTAGCTTCTCTATTCATGCAAAAATATTGCTAAAAAATTAAACTTGGGCATTATAGAAAACAGTGAATGATAAAATAAATTCACCTGAACTTTTGTACAGCCTAGCTACTAACTTGTTTATCAGCTATTCCTGTTCGATAAAACTCAAATCGTGTTAACCTAACTACATCATCGTTGTTTACCTGTACAGAAACAGAAATGTCACATTTCCACATAATTTTACAATATTTAATGAGGTTTTCCAACTGTTAGTTTACATTTTTATATAACATCAGTTTGTTGGAGCACATAATTGTGCTCTGTAAACTTAACAAAACCTAAATATCAAACAACTGAATTAATTTTGTTTTTATAGTCCTTCTTCTAATTATAAAACTTATTTGCTGGTTTATGCTGTATTACTAGGATAAAGATGGAAAGAAATAAAAATTATTGATAAAATATTTATATTTTTTGTCAAGTAAACTTGACAAATATATTAAAATCTTATTAATTGTGGTATCCTCACAATGTTTTCACTTCCCGGTTTTTTATAGTTTATGCAGGATATATAATATAGCACTAAAGCTAAAACTAAATTCATTTAAAAATAAATTAAAAAAATATATATATATTTTGTCCTACTTCATGAGACATCAACTGGTCTCATGTAATAGGACTTAGAAAGATTTGATGTTACTGTCCCCACAAGTTTCACCCAATATAAGAGAAGAACTTTACATTATTGACCAAAGTTTGCATTTAAATTAGAGAAAGATTTCCAGTGATCGTTGTGTGGGACTATAATTTACCTGTTTGCTCTTTTTTCTGCTTGAAATAATACATTTGATGTCACCCTGAACGCTTGTCATCGAGTTCAGTGGATGAAGGGTGCTTGGTATTTTGACTTTAACAATGATTTTGAGTCACAGATTTCTGCTTTCAGTCATCTGTGTAGAAATGCCAGAGTAATATGTTTTGTTTTAATGTCCTACAGCATTAGTGTTCTGATTCTTATGTCAAAACAACCACAACCTCCTAGAAATGTGGATCATTAACAGACTTTAAATGTAAAAGAGGAAAATGGCATTGCTCTGTCCTGCATGTTTACAATGCCCCTTCAAAAAAGATGGTGTCAGATTAATTAATCTGACCCAATGTTTTTGTCAGATTAATGAATCTGACAACATGTAGTAGCTGATAGGGATTTTTTTTTCTCCAAGTTTTGTTTCAGATTTGTTTCCTCATAAAACTTTGAGAAAAGTTTTGTGAGGAATGAAGCAGCCATTTTTTGTTCTTCTGACTCAAATACACCTAAGGTTGAAGTCTGTCTTTTAATCTGACCTACACATGGATGTCTGTTGAGAGTTTTAGCGGACCCTAGAGGAGAGTAAAATTTGCTTCACACAGGCTTCGTAAATCAGACAGTTTGTTTTTTGAGGTGTTTGTGATAACCTAATCTTTACTGGTTTGTAAACCAGAAACCTCCTTTTGGTAAGAGAAAATTCGAAGACTCTTGTTTGCTTAATTAACGTGCCCCTCAGCTTTACTTCAGCTTGCTGTGGATACTATAGCACTATAAATTGGTGGGAATTCTGTATGTTGTTGCACTGAGCAAATTTGCAATGATGCTGCACTATAATCTTGATATATTTTGTTATGACATTATCCCTGTGCAGACTTAACAAATTCAGGTAGTTGCAATAAAAATGTGAGGGTGAAAATTATCGGAAAATATATGGAAACAATTGCAACGAACCCTGTATGGCTCAAAACAAATTAACATGCTTTTCTCTTGTTCCTTAGAGGGCTTTTCAGGCAGAACTGAATTTATTGCTGTTTTTAAATGTTACAGCCTCTCAAAATCAGTTTATTCATCATTGAACCTTTCTGATGAGTTTCTTTTTGTTCATGTTTACAGACTTTAATTTACGGCAAGACATATTACACAACCATATACAGAATATATTCCATAAAATCATATTATGATTTTAAGTATATTCAGCTGTTTGAATTAAAGCTGATAATCTATGAATGTGGTTATATTGTTATATGGAAGGGAACTAAGACTTGTATGTTAAGATTCCATTTATAGAACGAAATGTTCATGATTAATTTAAATGATTCCAAAGACTTTTGTTTTAAACAAAAAAGAAAGGTACACTATTTTCATACTTTTGTGTTTCATACCAAATACATATTTTAGGCAAACATTCTCAAATATTTTACAGAGTAATGTTTGGTGCAAAAATCCTTTATTCTGAAGCCATAAAGTCTGTGTTAGAGTATATTTGACTGTGTTCATAAGCAGTATCACTTCTTGCTTTGGTTAAGCTAAATGTAAACCAAATATGTCTGCTTATCTATGATATGATCTCTTCCTGTTGCTGATGTAAACACTGGATGTTCTACTGTGGCGAATTGTTTCAACTTGTTGCATTCGTCATCTCTGCCTGAATGGCAAAGCAACACCAGCATTCACCTGAGCTTCTCTGTTCTTGCTTATGCGTCTGCCTTCACGCTCTTCATGTTTTACATGTTCAAGTGCTTCATTAGGAAACGTTTGTTTTTCACCATATGATGTCAACGTTTTCTGCTTTTATAAATATGTGTGCAATGCATTGATTTCATGTACAAGAAGCTTCACCTTTACTGTGACTTTGTCATTCTATGTTTACTTGAATGGTGAACTTTAGCCTTTGTTTTAAAAAGAGAGTGCTGAAAAAAAAAGATTAACTCAGCTCACTGTTAGAGTTTTTTGCTGAATCACAATTTTCCTGAAGATAAACTGCTTTCTTGGGTAAAGTGAGTACAATCAGACCCACAGTCTAAGCAATAACTGTCTTTAAGGCAAGGTCACTTTCTGCATGTGACCTTTTGTGGAGATTTGTTCACTCATTATTATACTTTTTTATATTCCATGCTGTGGAAAACAAATTTGTTCAGGCTTTTTTGTCAGAAAAGTATTTAAGGTCATCAAGCAAATTCTCTATCACTCAAAGCTGACTTGTTACAAAATTCAGGTTCAATCTGGAGAGACTCAGACGCAGAAAGAAAGCGATTAGAAAAGTTTATTGACATGCATGAATTAAGTCTTTGGTGCGTGGGCCCCAGCTAAGGACATTGAGCTGTGATTGCGATAAGCTCAGATGAGCATTCCTCATGCTGATAGGAATGTCATCCCCCGGGACCCGATACTGATGGTGGAGGTCGGTAAATGAAGTATGCCTGGAGAGCCAGGACAGAAGGGGTGGAGGTGGGTTGAGCGCAGCAGCAAAGTGGAAGACGCCTTGGATGGACGTCCTTATCAACTGGGGCATGGTCGGTGATTGGCTGTGACATGGCTTGGTCCAGCGATGATAGGTCGTTGTTTAGTGGGATGCGCCGATTAGATGATGCAGGTGGGGCTAAAGAGTCTTCCAGTTTGAATTTATGCCTAGGCTTCATTTTTGAAATAGTAGTTAAACAATCTAAACCAACTTAGGAGAAAAAAAACTGGCAATTTTTTGCATCACTGTGTAGGAATTTTAGCCCAATCCATTGCCTCCACATTGAAAAGTTTTCAACCAGGAAGCTTTCAACTGTTTAAGATCATGTCACAACATCTCAATCAGATTTAAGTCTGGACATGGACTAAACCACTTCCAGAAAAAAAAAGAAGAAAAATTGAGCAATTATTAAGCAGACATCTTAGTTTGCTTTGGATCATTGTTCCACCAGCCCTTCAGCTAAAAGTCTGAAGTTCATGGCCAGACAACCAGCAAAGCAGGTTTTTATCACCACCATGTTTGACGATGTTCTTGTGAAATTCTGTTAATTTAATGCCAGATATAGAGTAATGTAACCTGCAGTAACACCATTTTCAAAGAGTAAACTTGGTATTGAAAACCTTTTTCAGTTTTTTTGCTTGAAAGCATTTCATCACCACGAGCCAAATGCATTCAATCAACAACTTTTTGATTCACATTACAGATTATTACTGCAGATATAACAGAGATAATTCACTGTGTAATCCACTCTTGTATGTCATCATCATAACAATTTTTGTATTGTTATTACTTTACCATCCAGGGATTATATTTCTTCCATGTTTACTTGGACTTTCGACATTTTTACAGATCTGATTCCGCACTATTTAACACTATCCAGAGCACTTTACTATCCCTTGATTCAGAAACACTGCTGTTGGGGACAGCAATAACAGACTTTAGTTTACGGTAAATATTGTGCATCAAGCGACACATTAGTGGGAAAGGAATGTACTTTATGATGGGCCTTATTACAGGATGTGATAACTTTAAAGAAGCTGGGATGTAAAATCTTAACAATTATGTTATAACTTGATGTCAGCCTGGGTGAGATTTACATTTTAGTCACATTTTCTTTCTCTTCATGCCTTACATTTTTATTAGCTGCTGTTTAATTGAAATATTGTATTGAATAGATATTTTTTATGGCAAATCTACATGAATAGAAATATGTTGTACATAAAGAAACAATATTATTGGAAATTCAATATTTGATGTGTAAATCAGAGTCCGACTATTTAATGTGTGCACTTTCTTGTGAGCATTTCTCATCTATTCATTCTAATGACCACTAAATCTAACAACGGTCATGTAAAGTATGTCATATATTATACATTAAAGTTTAACTTTATAACAAACCTGTGTCTCTTGATGGAATATTTATGACGACTCAAATGTGTCATGTATTTTATTTATAAAGCAGCAGCTTTCAAAGTATGTAACATTACAGAGAATAATAATTTACTGTCCTTAAATTGATAACTTCAGGTTTTTGTTAAGTGGGGTTATGTGGATTAATTATGCATATTCTGAAATGCTGTGAAACCCTAACTTGAAAATTACAGCCATCTTCAAAAAACTGAGAGCTCTCAAAATGGTTTGACCTGCATCCTTATCTGATTTATGTTAAATCAAGTGTAATTTGTCAAAAGTGGGATTTATGTGGGGTTAACTATTTTTTATTCTTTCACATCATTATTTGGATGTCTTAATTGCATTTTTTTAAATAACAAAGCACTCATAATTACCCCTAAATATAGAAAGAGTTTATTGGTGAATCCACATTTTCAAGGTATCCAAATATCAACCAATCTGCTTAATAATCTTGAAGTTTAAAAAAAAAAAAAATTTATTCACATGGTAACACAAAGTACTTACGCAAACACATTTAAAACTAATTACATCAAAGTAATAAAATTGTAAGAAAAACTTAAAATTGCAAATATAAATCTAAGACATGCTAGACGAGCTGATAACGTATTTTTTGACTTGAATTGCTTGTGAAGAGTAAATCCCAATAATGCAATCCACGTCGGTGTTTGAAATACATTAAAATGCCAGAAGATGGCACTATGCAACCATAAAAACCACCTTCAGCTGCACTGCACAGACTTTTCGCCTTTAATCTCACAGAGGGAATGTTATATATGTGGAACATGTTGTGGCAGGTTGAACTAGTGAGCTGGGAAGGAGATCCAGCCTTTCTTTGGCCTCATTCCATCAGTTTAATGGCGTGTTTGCTATTGCCTACCCTCTCATTCCATGGCTAATATACCTCATATTGTACTGTACAGCTAATTTTGTTGTGTTCTGGCTTTAAAAACCTCCAGCACTTTGGCTGATGTACCTTGCAAGCGGATGTCCTATTGTTCGGCTTCAGAAGATGGGTTTTGAAAATATTTGATTGCACAATAAGGATGGTTTTGATTATGAATGTGGTCTAAAGAAAAGTTACAGCAGGACTGAGAGTAAACAGCAGTTTGGAGTTAGATTTCTATAAAAATAAAAAATAATAATAATAAAAAAAGGAACAAATAAGTGAAACTTGAGGAAGGTGTCAAAGGTGAGCTCACTGTTCAGGTCACGTATAAGGTGATAGATAGCCTCTCCCTCAGCTTAAAAGAGTAATGTGCATAAAAGAACATTATTGGAAAGTCTACAGAAAATCTCATAAATCTGGCTGCGCTTTCATCTAAATTTATTAATTTAATCAAACTCAGACAATTCTATTCAAAGAAAACTTTAAAGCACCAGCATCTAACCGTTCCTTAAAACTCTCATTTTTTTAAACTGCAGAATATTTACTTATATCAGTTGCTTGTCTACCATAACACAGATGAACTGGATATTTATTTGATTCCAAAATTTACAAGAGTAAAATAATTTCTTACAATTTGAAATGATTAGTAGAGAATATGATGTATACGTGCCTAGTATTCTCTACAAAGGTGCGCAGAAGCTTGAAGTCACCCCAGTTTTCTTAACAATTTGTTTCCAAGGTGCTGGAATTTTTCATTTAAAAATTATTTTAATCAATATTTGACCTTTTTTTTAAGAGAAGTTGTAGGGTCTCAGATATCTTAAAGTTTAGTTTGCACTTTAGCTTATGTGTATTTCTCATCAAATCAAATGACATCTAAATTAGCCCCTGGTTTGTTTTGTGTGTCTTTATGCTTTGGTAGAAAACTGACTAAAGCGTTTGGTTTAGAGGTATTTGTATGGAACATTGAAACATTTATATTGTGTTAAGCTTCTCAGCTGTATCAACCAGCCCTAACCTTTGCACATTTCTGCATATTTTTTTATGATCCTGCACCAGGTTTTGCGTTACAGTCCATAATCAATCTCTTCATCCTCTTGCTTTACTTCCGACATCCTACAAGACTACACCTTTAAGTGTCAGGAAACATTTTGCAACAGTCCTTCAAGAAACAACTCGTAGGCATTGTGACACTATTGATCTGGACACACAGGAACAGGCCGATGCATCTCAGCCTGTTGTTTGATGTATTACAATGAGCAGAACACAGAGATGGACTTTTCCATAGGCTTCTTGGCTGTTGAATAAAACATCAGGGTGAGTTGGAAAAAGGATTGAATGTTTGAAGACAAGAGTAGAACAACAGAGGCTTACAGGACACCGTAAAGTTTGAAGGAAACGTTTTAGATAGTCAGCTGTTTCAGGGATAAAGGACCAACTGAGAGGCATTAATGATAACTTTACATGTTCTGACTGTCAGTGACTGTAAATGCAAAAACACACTCAGTAGAGAAGGTGCACAGTGACAGCCCCTGGCTCCCTGATGCATTATGTCTGTGTGAATAACTCTGAACTGATAAACCATGAGTTGCTCTGATAACAATGCACAGTTGAGGGATGCATCCTTATTAACTGCTTGAAAACATTATCACATTGCAGCGCCAGATTTTGCTCACTGTGCTTTCTGCCAAAATGATTTTTGTACATGAACAATCAGGGCGCCGGCATGTTGAGCAATGAGCTGACAAAGATGCGTTCTGAACGAGTGTGTGTGTGTGAGTGCAGTCCGCCATCACAGTAAATGACATTTTAGCAGCAGAAGCAAAAAAATGCCATCAGAGTAAATGTGAGGTGGATGAGAAAGGGGCTTTGTGAGGGACATTTATGTGTGCAAGCCATTTATTTTTTGGTGAGAAAGCGTCCATGCTTTGGTCTCACCCTGGTCTGTTGGTAGCAGTGACACTGAATTCCCTGCCTCATCCATCCTAGTGATAAACTAGGCTGTCACTGGCCAGCGGAGCTCCATGCAAGAGCAATGAGTGGACTCATGTATAACCTGGCATTTTGAGAAACCCCAATTTGATGTGTCTATTAAGCAAAGGCGGAACACAGAAAATTGCATTTATCTGTGTTTCACTGATTAATATCTTTGTGGTCTCTATTTTTTGATATCTGTGCATTTTCTGAGGATACTCCGGCCTTCGCCTGAAACGTAAGAGCACACAAATAGCACCTACCTTAGGAATAACCAAAGTGTAGTTAGCCAAGGGCAATTTGTGGCCCTTGGACTGATTGTTGTTGTCCCTGACTGCAATTCAAGAAAAACACAAATTTAGCTCCTACAACTTATCTTAAGGCTTTCTTAAGTGTAGCAATACCTGAATCCTGCAGTTCATGAGTAGCAATCAGTGTCTGAGCTGGAATATTGCCGACAATGTTTTCCTGTCAGTTCTGCCTATTTCTATTTGTGACAGCCTCAGTGATACGTCCACAGAAATGCCATGAGGTACTCTCTCTAAAGGCAGAGAGGTTCAAGGTTCACAAAATTCACATCATGTGAACTCAGTTTGATTGAAACACAAACAGCCATGCATCTACAAAGCCAGTCAGAATTGAGGAAATCCTCTGAGCTGTGGGAATGCTGTGCAATCCCAGTCACACAACCTGGTCCTTCTGATGTCAGCAGCAAACACAATGAACCTACTGAACACAGGACACCAACACACTGACACCACCTGCAATTTTTCTTCACTTGTGCTCATCTGGACTCTTACAATAAAAACCTGGGCAATTGTCCACATTACCCATGTTAACTGGACATGGCATGTCACTGCTGTGACATAACATACCTCAACAACAACATAAAAGAATAATCACACATAATTTGTGGTTTAACGAGAGAGGCAATGATGATTTGACTTTGACTTTATTGAACTTAGTGAAATAAAAGAATAAACAGCATTATATACAAAGAAAGTAAATTTAAAACAAAAGCAAACAAAAGAGCAGTAATAAAATATATCTACATGTTTAAAGAAGCAGGTAGAAATATGAAACTTGTTTTTGCACCCACCTGTCTTACATCTATAGCCTCATCTAATAAATTAGTATTCATGTATAAACCTAGGCTGAGGCTGGTTGGAATGTAATATATAGAATTATAAATTAGAAGTTGGATTTTATATTTTCTCAAATTATGTCCGTCAGATGTTAAAGATTAATTTTATACACAAAAATAGGATAAATCCTCACTTCACCGTTTACTACAGGTATAAGATCAAGATGTCAATTTTAAAAGATTCATATTGTCAAAAAACAGTTCTTAAATAAAATTTGGAATGAAAACACCACACTACTTGCACCTTTTGTTCAGGTTTTTTTTTTAAATCCCGAATGCCAATATGATTTCCTTGTAAACTGCAGAATGCCTCTTTCTGGAGAAATTATGAACATTTGAAATGAATTCAGGGCCAGTTCTTCTCAGAGTCTGAGCCAGCACAAAGTGCCTTTCTCTGAATACAAACTGTCCTTTTCTCACTGATGAAGCTTGCTAAATGCTTCGTAGATGTGTCTCCTCTCAGGGGAAACTGTCAGATCCGAAACTAAAAAGACTAATTCAACAATTCTGTCTTCTTTATCCTCTTCTGTTCTCTAAATTACAGACACCCAGCAGACTGACTCACTGATGGGCTGCACTGAACAATGGCTCAACAGTGAAAACACGGAGTCAAATGGAATACCAATTGCCTTAAAGTTAGCTCAGACTGAGATATGTACCTTGCTGTGACAAAAAGGGAGAAAGAAAATGCCAGGGGAGTTTTTTGCCTCGTTAAATGTTAGTCAGAGCATTTCACGTGAGCTTTTTTTTTATTTATTTATTTTTTTTATGGAATATGCTAAGATCTCTTATATTAGATTTTAACCAGAAATGGAGAACAAGGTATTGTTTTAAATTAATCAAGCGCAAATCTGTTTGTTTGGATCACATAAAGTTCCTCATGCATCTCAGACAATCCCATAGCCATCAGTGACACTCACAGTGTACATTACATACTGTAATTATTAAGCCTTTGGGTAGTTTCCAGGGGTTAGATGAAA